ACTATATACGCCTTGGTGGTTCTGCTGGGTCTCCGGCTAGAGCAGGGCGCCTGCCAGCACTATCTGCACATCCGACCGGCTCCCAGCGACAACTTGCCCTTGGTGGATCTAATCGAGCACCCGGACCCTATCTTTGACCCCAAGGAGAAGGATCTTAACGAGACCTTGCTAAGGAACCTCATGGGCGGTCACTTCGACCCTAACTTTATGGCTATTTCCTTGCCCGAGGACCGGCTCGGAGTGGACGATCTAGCTGAGCTGGACTTGCTGCTCAGGCAGAGACCCTCGGGAGCGATGCCCAGCGAAATCAAAGGGCTGGAGTTCTACGACGGGCTGCAGCCGGGCAAGAAGCACAGGCTGAGCAAGAAGCTGCGCAGGAAGCTGCAGATGTGGCTTTGGTCCCAGACCTTCTGCCCGGTCCTATACACGTGGAACGATCTCGGCAGCCGCTTTTGGCCCCGGTATGTCAAAGTGGGCAGCTGCTACAGTAAAAGGTCTTGTTCAGTCCCCGAAGGCATGGTTTGCAAACCTGCCAAGTCCGTGCATTTAACGATCCTGAGGTGGAGGTGCCAGCGCCGGGGAGGGCAGAGGTGCACATGGATACCCATCCAGTACCCCATCATTTCGGAGTGCAAGTGCTCCTGCTAGGGCTGGCACTTACCTTCTCGCCCCTTCTCCAGCGGACTCACGTGGACCTTTGCTGCAACAGAAATAAAAGACATTTGCTTTCTGGTTAACGTTGTAATGCACTGTAACGTGTAGGAGAATGTATATTGTGTGTATATATGGCACCGGTTTAATATACTATTAAAAGGTCAGTATTATACGTGAAATAATCAGCGTCTACTGTATTTCTAAGACTATTACCCTGATCGTTGCTAATGTATCTTTTTTTTTTTTTTTTTTTGGTATTTATATTCCAGAGAGAAGTTGCTTCGCTTTGGCGAAGTAGGTTTTTTGTTGGGTGTGTGTTTTTTTTAATAAAAGGATTAAAAAATACAAACCAAACTTTTTGATAAGAAAACGGTTAAAGCTATTTTCCATTATTCGGAAAGCGCGTGTGTGAGGTTTTTTTGTTGTTTTTTTTCCTTACGGACTTTAGATTTAAAATAAAAGTGAATAAACGCCTAGAGCACAATGTTATTGTAAATAGAGAGAACAGTTTGAATGACTTAATCCTATGTAAATGAAGAGTATCTGCTATTTATTCTTTATATCCTTGTAGTAAAAGTGCAGTGCAGAATTAAAGTCAACCACTAAAACACGAGCCGTTTGGATTCTGTTTGCTTTTTGGTTTGGCCGCCGTCGGGGGGGCTTTCTTCTCTCTCCTCCTCGTTCTCCACGCTCAGCGGGACGTTTCGTGGTGGCAGGGGGAGGTGGGAACCTGCTCACGACTCTGTTAGGAGGGACTGTGCGGCACCTACCCGGCCGGGGTGCCGGGGGGTCCGGCCCCGGGGGAGGGGGGTCCCGGCGCTGCGCTGTCCCCCCGCGGAGCCGCTCCCGCGGCCGCGCAGCCCCGGCGCGCTCGGCGGCAGCTGCTCGGGGATATTTTTTTTTTTTTTCCTCTCTCCCTCTTTTTTTTTTTTTTTTAACTGCTTGACATTTCATTTACAACGGGACACGTGTCTTTCACACCTACCATTGTGGTGGGACACTGCTGAAACTTGACCCCTGGGCTTTGGGGGTTTTCAGCGCAGACACGTTATTAGGCTGATCCTGTGACAGCCCCGCACACCGCCCGGCCCGGCCCGCTTTTAACTCTTTGGGCTCCCGCCAGCGCCGGGCGATCGCTCCCCTGCCGGGCTGGCCCCCCTTCCCCGGGGAGCGGCGGGCTGTGCCGCCGCGGGGTGCGGGTGCCCCGCTCCCGTCCCGCCTCCCGGGGCCGCCCCCGCAGCGCTGGGACCGGCCCGGCCCGCGGGGCTCCGCGGGGACCCGGCCCAGTCCCCCCAGTGTTTGACTTCTACGTGCCCGGAGACCCGACGGTTCGTATCTCATAGATACCAACTGCGAAAACAAGCTCTCCACGTGCTCTTCAAAGGCTCCCAGACAGTGCAAAAAGCCTTTTCCTTATTTATCTTGGAATCAAAAAACTTTTTTTTTTTTCTTCCCGAAAACTCGGAGGGAATCGATGCTAATCATTTTAAACCCGTGGGTCTTTCATTGAGACAACCCAGCCCTGCTTTTCTGTGACGCTTAGTTCGGTATCTCCGAATGCATATTCATTCCCTCTCTCCCTCTTTCGGTGCGTTTTACCGCCCGTCTCTTTGCTTCTAATTTCAATAGTTTGAGGGGAGGGGGGAAAAATCAGATCTTGGGACATTTAGGGTATTCATTAACCTAGTGAAGAGGAACAGAGGCATTATTACTCACATAGAAGGCACCCTGCCCCCATGTCTATCTAAGGGTTCATTGTAAAAGGATTAAAAGTTAAAGACCTTCATCTTATGATTCTTTCATTTAATCTTCGTGGCGCCTGAAAGACATGCTGGATGGATGATCACATTTAAAATATTCCTAATGTCGGCTACCTTAGGACTCCAGGCAGGGCAAACAAACGTAATTTATTTCCAGAAGAAAGGGTATATTGAGATGTTTAAGTTTATGAACCACCATTACCATGTATATTTGTTAGGTTCTGACAAATACCCAAATAACATTAAAATCAGCCATTCATCACATATGAATTTATGCAAAACCTTGTATGCCTGGGGCCAATATTTTTTTAGACAGAGTTTCACTTGCAAAAAAAAAAAAGTTTATTTAAAAAAAAAAAAGCAAGAGTTTTTCATGACTGGTAAACACGAGAATTATGTGAACAGAAACTATTTCATGCTGGGATGGCAGCCAGGGACTCGGGAATGTCAACAAAAGTTCTCCGAAGGTTGAAAATGTCACTGGATTACAATACAAGGTCCTTTGCCCCATTAGCAAACTTTACTGAAGTAATATTCCCACTACTTAGTGAGGGGGCTCACCCAGTGATTTATCTGTCGGTGATCCCAGCAATGGGGCAAACAGACACTTCATCTGGAAACCACCTCTGACTGCTTGCTTCAAGATTTAAAATGTTCCTGTGTGCAGAGCTGGGTGTGCTGAGTGTTGTGTGAGTGCAAGAGAAGTGTGCTGGTAATGTAGTCTAAGTATCTATCACCGGATCTGCCTTATTTTTAATCCAAGAGTCATTGTAATCAGAGAGTCATGTGTACACGTGTGCTTTCTCAACCAATAACACCCCGTTAATAATACATTTACAAGAATATTTTGGGTTTAAAAAAAGTCAAGTTTCACCATCCACAAGGCCCATGATTTTTTCATTTAAATAAATAGCTAAATTTTGTCAGCTGGTAGAGCAAAAATAAACTAGTAGTTTTCACTGTTGTTTCTGGTCAGGTCCACTTTCTGGTCCTCTTGCCCTGGTGTTGAAATGTTTGGCTTGTAGTGGAAGTGTTTCAAGCCAAACAAATAAAATATCTTTCTGATGAATGTTTCTATGCAAATCTGTTTAATATTGGATTTTGTAATATGTTTTTAAAGCAAAATTGAATTATAGCTCTTTTAAAGAGAAATCAATTCATAACACAGACAATTTCTGTTTGCTGATCTTTGTAGTGGCATCGTAAGACCTCACACAGATCACTGTGGGGAAGAAATAAGAAGGGAAAGGTTGAAAGTTTCCTTTTAGTTAATCTTCGGTTTCTTCTTTTGCAATTTTAGGGTCTTAAAGCGTAATACTGGGAATTTAAATTAATTTCTGCTTCAGCCATAGACTGTGCAACCTCACTTGGGTATTTAACCTGTGTGCTGTAGTTCCTGATGAGGAGTGCAGGATGTCATCATCTTCATCACTGTAGTTAGTCTTTATCCAGAGTAATTCGTTCTCTCACACCATGTGTTTATTCAAAATCCACTAAAGTTAAGGCCTAAGAGTAACACGGTTGATAAAAGCACAAAAGAGTAGACTAGAGGAAGTTGGCCAGAGGTTTGTAATAAGCTCATTCAAAATTAGTGCAGGTAGTGTGATGAAAATGAACCATCTAGAAAACATTAGACACACCATTAGAGCGCTGTGTTCTCACATATGTACTTAACTGAAAAAATATACTTGATTCATTTTATCATTTTCAAAATACTGCCACAAAGACAAATTCTTAAGATTGCATGAGTGCACGATGGAGTCATCACCAAAACAACCACAGCCAGAAATTACAGCAGTAATATTTGTATAAATACTGGACAAGTTTTTACTCTCTCATAGTTTTAACAGAGAAGTAATCTTAATTTAGTAACATCAACACTTCACCTTGCTTGGGCTGTGTTGTGTAAATGTAATCTGCACACCACGTTGGCTGGATCTTGGACCCATTAAAAAGAAGATATTCCAGCTCGGAGATTTGCCAGGAATCTTCAATGAAAGTTGAAATAAATATAATGACGTCATCATATATTATAACATCACAGCCTTCAAGGTAAGCCAAACCAAAGGTATGTTGGCAGGGGAGTGCTGCCACCTGGTAGATCCATGCTAGGAATAGATATGATACTCCCATCCAGAGGGGAGGGGAACAGCCACGCTCTTCCTGCAGTGCCCACACGGATCGTGCAGTCTCTCTGTGCCTGCAGGTCCTGCGGGAGCCTCGCTGCACCAGAGAGCTGCAGAACCTGTGTCAATGCTCTCTTTTAAGAGAGCAGCTACAGCAAATTTGAAGAGACCCTTTCATTCCCTCTTCCCTGCTCCCAGACCAAGCGAGAAGCTCCAATGGTTAAAAGGAAGGGAATGAATACATTCGCTTGAAACAACTGTTGGAATGGTTCAGAGGGGAACAGAAATATTCAGCAATCAACATTAAAGACTCTAAATCCTCGGAGGTGTTATTGCAGGATCAGCAGCTTACAGCCCTCTTCGTGAAGGCTGGGTACCAGTGTATTACTGTTAAGTCCCCTGCAGCTTGTTCCCTGTGGGGAAAGCAGCTGCTGTGTGTGATGTGCTTTTGAAGAGTCTGGGAGAAAAGCTGCTGGAAGAGAAATCTGCACGGGTATAACATCACAGTGAGACACTTCTCCCTGCTGAACTGGAGGACAGGAGTGCAGAGATGGCACAGTTTAGCCTCTGACTCTGTCGGGGGATAGCTCAGATGGGGACCAGCTGAGAACAGATGCTCTGGGGCTCACTGGTTGTACGTTCTGCCCTCTCCAGGGGTGTATTTATGCTGCCATTGAGCATCATTCTGCGTCAGCACTCAAGGCCAGACCAACCTGCGTATGCAATCAGGCCTGGTCAGCCTGGGGATGTCCTGGAATGCTTTGGAGCCATCCCTATGAGGAGCTCTGGCAGTGGGTGGGTGCTGCTGTCCAAGAGCTGCCGCCCAAGTGAAGGCAGCAGCACACACATCCTAGCACTGACCAGCCTGGAGCCTTCCCTTCACCTAAGGCAGACATTCCCCAGGACTCGGGTCTCTCCCTTGGAGAATCCCAGAGTAGTCACTGCATCAGATAATCATAACACAGTTTGAAAATAAGTTTCACACTCCCTCCTCGTTGTTTTTTTTCCCTCATGAGAGGGGGAGTGGCAAGACTGCCATCACAAAGAACGTTACTCAGAACCAGAACAGATCTTAAGGCACAACACTAAAAACCTGTATGCAATGGAGAAGGACTGGGTGGCTCGAGGGATTGGTAATGGTATAAAGAGCTTTTCACCACTAGGCTTCTGGCTCTGATCCAGAGGTAGTAACTGAAAGCCACAGTCATCTGATGCCTGCAGAGTGGGCTCTGTAGAATGAGTTGTTGGTCTCTGCATAGATCCTACCAAGCAGGATCCAGATCACAAAGCCACCACCAGAACTGACATGCTTGCAAGGATTCTCAATCCAAAGTGCAGAATGAAACAGGAATGGGGATGTTTGATCTGTGTTTGGGATTTAGGAGCAATAAGAGGACGTTGTTGTTGGGGGTTTTTTTGTTTGTTTTGTGGGGGAGGGATTAATATAGGAGAATATAACCAGCATAGTGCCTTGTATTGATACAACCCTTATGCTATTTTCCTTCTGGCATAGTAATATCTTTATTTTTGGCGTACAACTGGCAACTTATTACCTGGCTTGGATGCACAACCATGGCCCAGAGGAAGATGCAGCAAACACAAGAGCCAGGCTCTGCCATATTAATTGAAGTTCCTGCTGCACTGGATGGTGCAAATAACTACACAGTAAATGCATCTTATGCCTACCAGTACAAATACCTTGGTTACAGCAGTGCAACTTTCCAGGG